ACTCGTTCCTTTGTTATGGTTTTTTGTTTTTGGTTGAACAATTTTTTTAGGACTCAGAAGGCAGTAGCTCTTCCAATCACCATATTGATTGGAACACTGATGACGAGATTGAGGTGTTTGGAGTACCTTCCTCTGATTCGATCAATTATAGTGAACCAAGTGAAGAGAGCCATGAACAAAGTGTGGCGGTAAATCCTGCATCCAATTACCTCAAAATGGCTTTCATCACACTAAAGTTCTAAACATATGCTTGTAAATGATACAGAAGGGCAAAAGGGCTTTTCTGGTTTAATCTTATGTATGATGGTTAACTCCACACTGCATGTGTATAACCCTTTTGTTTTTTTAATAGGGGCTACCCTTTGTTTGAAAAGAATGTCCCATGGGCAGTAAGAATGATTTGACACTTACTGAGAGAAAAAGGAAATTTTTTTTTTATGATAGAAGTAGTGATTGAAAGAAACATAAGTGCTAATGAAATGTTTGGAGTATAAAAGTTTCCCATTAATCATTACTCAATTATCTGGGAGGAAACAGAGAGGCAAAAAGTTTTTTTTTTTTTTTAAAAAAACTCATCTTTTTCTGTCCTTTTTATTTCTGTTTTCTTCTGAATCAAACAAAAGAAATGCATTGTTGTTTATGTTTGAGAAAGTTTGAATCTTGTATTCCTTTTTCTAACGTTGAAGTATTCTGTGTTCTGTTTAGGAGAGTTCTGCAAGTGACTCGAGTGCTAGACATGCCAAGATGATTCATCATTTTATGGGCATGGGATTTTCGAGAGGGACAGTAATCGATGCTATTAATGAAAATGGTTGTTTTTCTTGTTTAATGTATTCACTAAATATTCTACTTTACAACCACTAGTACAGTACTAATGTTCTTTAATGATAAGCTTTTGTTTTGTCCATGGCAGGAGGAGATAACGAGGAAGAAATTATGGAAACTCTTCTTGCAGTTACTGCTGTGAGTATAGTAATAATCTGCGGACCATCAAATTGTTTTATGACACTACCATAAGAAGCGTATTAGAAAGTAAAATGATCAAAGAAAAGATGCTTTCAGGCGAGTGAGTTAGTGAAATAGTACTAGACTTGGGAAAGATTGGAGAATTAATGGTTTTTGATTCTCATTAACTTACAAGTTTACTCTGAAGTGCTTTTTACAGCAAAGTTTTTATCATTCTCATTACTTCTACTTTTAAGGCAGAGTTTTTACTCTGTTCAAACCCCTTAATATCATTATATATTGAATACTTATTCATGCATACGTTTTAGTTATCCGACTTCTAGGAAGCATTTTACTCACATTGTGTATATAGATTCCATTTAACTGTTTCCATTTTCGCAGGAAAAACCCTCAACAGAAGAGAACGATGAGATATTGTCCATACTTGTCGATATGGGATTCACTTTTGAGGAGGCTTGCACAACTATAGACAAATGTGGTGTGTTTATTGTGTAATTGTTACTCTTATATATGTCATCAACACTTTTTAAGTTTCTTTTTTGTTTTTCTTTCGTCTCTCCAGTATCAGCAGCATTAAATGGTTCTTAAATATTTTATTTCTGAGCTACATTTGTCAGGTCCTAAAGCTGAGATCGGTGATCTGGCAGATTTCATCAGTGCTTCTCAGTTAGAAGATGAAATTGACTCGCTTCAAGATCTGCCTAAAAATAAACATGTTGCATCTGTTGATACACAAACAGAGGTGGTGAGGTTTATAATCCTATGAAATTACTTCTGCTTGTAATTAAAATATCAGTAAAGCAAGTGGTTTTTTTATTAAATTATGTTATATCTTCTGCTCTTCCATTCAGCGAAGGGATTATCTTCATACATGTAAGAAAGTAAAACTCCAGGACAATAAAGGGAAATACAGAATGAGCTGGCCAAAAGAGAAGGCAGCATCAGCAGTTGATATGGGAATGATAGTTCATCACCCAGGCCCAATGACAGGATTTGGTGTACACAATGAATCCAGTAAAGTAATTTCAAGAGAGCTACCAAGTGAAGTAGCAGGTAAACCATACTTCTATTTTGAAAACGTGGCAATTGCTCCTAAAGGAGTTTGGAATAACATATCACGTTTTCTCTATGAGATTGAGCCAGAATTTGTTGATTCCAAATACTTCTGTGCTGCAATGAGGAAAAGAGGATATATCCATAATCTTCCCATCCAAAACCGCTTCCCTCTGCTTCCTATCCCACCACTAACTATACGAGAGGCCTTCCCTTCTACTCAAAAGTGGTGGCCTTCCTGGGACAAAAGAACAAAGCTCAATTGTCTTCTAACTGGCATAGCTCCTGGCACAGTTACAGATAGAATAAGGAAAACCCTCGAACAATTTGATGATGAACCTCCACAAAATGTCCAAGACAATGTACTTCTACAGATTAAAAAGTGGAACTTGGTGTGGGTTGGGAAAAACAAATTGGCACCTCTTGAACCTGATGAATATGAAATGTTGCTAGGATTCCCAAAGGATCACACCAGAGGTGGTGGAGTCACTCGGACAGAGAGATACCGGGCACTTGGCAATGCCTTTCAGGTTGTCATGCTATTGAGTTTTGAACTGCGTGTACTTTAAGTGTTTGTGTATCATTAGAAGAGTTTATAGTGATGATATTATAACTAAATGAAAAAGAAAATAAAATCAAACTTCTTACTGTTATAGGACAACTCGGTTAAATGATGATTTTAAAAGGTTGTGATCAAATTAGGCTGCATTTTATATTTTCTGGTAGGTGTAATAGCTTGATTAGAGACTTGATTATATGCCATAAAAACGTGTTAGAATGTGCTAAAAAGAGCATATTTTGACAAAATATGCGAAGGGACTAATTGAAATAAGTTAAAAAGAAGTTACAAGAGTAATGGGTTATAAATAAGCTCAAACAAGCTTTCCATAAGCTCTTCAAAGACCCTCTTAGTTTCTTTGGAAAAGCTCTAACTGCAAGTGAATGGTATTGATTTCAGGTTGATACAGTTGCCTACCATCTTTCAGTGTTGAAGGATCGTTTTCCAAATGGCATTAATGTGCTGTCTCTCTTTTCTGGCATTGGAGGTGCCGAGGTTGCTCTGCATCGACTTGGAATAATGCTTAAAAATGTGGTATCTGTGGAAATAGCTGAAGTGAACAGAAACATCATTCGCTGTTGGTGGGAGCAGACCAATCAAAAGGGAAACCTAATTGAGGTCGAAGATGTACAGAATGTCTCTTCAAATCAGCTGAGCCAGTGGATAACCAAGTTTGGTGGATTTGACCTCATCATTGGTGGGAGCCCCTGCAACAACTTTTCGGGCAGTAACAGAGTTAGCAGACATGGGCTAGAGGGAGAGCACTCCTCACTCTTTTACGAATACTACAGGATTCTTGAGGCAGTAATGGAAATGCAGAAAAATGACCCTCAGTGAAACAACAAAGTGCAATGGGGGATTTTGTTATTTCTCACTATTGTACGTAAATCAAAATTTTAAGGTGTAACTGAAAATGAAGTACACAGTATGAGGAAAATCCAATATACTCCCCAAAAAAATGCAATTTTGTCGTTCTCTTTGCTCGTTATACTTATGTTCTTTAGGTCTTACCAGGTTTTACTTACAACTATGTCGTCACTGAGATTATTTTTAAGAAAGAAAAAGGAAAGGAAAGGCTTAAACCGAGTGTTCATATGCGCGAACTGATGTGCACAGAAGTAGCGATTAATAACTAACATGCTAACAGTGTTCATAATATTCCTAATTCCCTTTTAAGGATATTATTCTACTAAAAAATTGTAATTTGACCCATGAAAGATTTTTGTAAGATTTATATTAAAAAATAAACTTTAAATCTAACAAAATTTTATTTAAAATTAATTTGTAAAATTAAATTTACACTCATTTTTATCGATGTTTCAATCACAAAGAAGTCGTCGGAAGAACAATATAAGTTGGTGGTAATACGGTCAACAGTCACAAATATGTTGGAGACAGTTTATCCAAATAACTTAGAAACAAAGCTAAACCTATTTTGTGAGTATATGGAATAGAAATAGGTACTTAAGATACAAATTCCATTTCATAATTTTATAGGCATCATTAAATTCCCAAAACTATCCGTTATTAACCATAGTAATGTAAGCATGTCATATCAATAATCATTAATCAAGTCAAGTTCCCTGAGAAAGATAACATACAATCCTTAGGCATAGTCAATTTTTATTATAGAGATAAATTACTTGGAGTTGAACATTAAGAACTTTAGGTAGATAAATCACACAAAGAAAACAGTGACTTATATCCCGTTCTTGTTTAAATACTTACACTTTGTAAGTTAAGACAGATACACCTCAACACTTGCAGTTTTTATCAATTGGCAAACGGGACAAACATTGATAAATTGCTCACAATCCTTACACAAGCACAGGTGCCTACAAGGCATCAACAACATAGAAACTGCCTTTGCCTTGCAAGCTCTGCAAGTCAGATTCTCTGCATCTTGGTACCTCTTGTGAGTAGAGTTTATAGGCGCACCCTGTATGTTTAGGAAGTTATTAGGATCTATATACGAGGCATCATCATCAACTTCACTATCTCCAAACCCTTCCTTCCCTTGTTCAGCACCTTGTGAAATTGCCTGCTGTAGGTTGTTCCTTAATGCATTCACAACTGACTCATTGTACTTTGCTCTGTAATGCCAGCTCTGTGCTTCAATAGCCACCTGCTTTATTCTTTCTGCCAGCTCCCTGTTTTTCCGGTTCATGTTTTCTATCTCCACATCTTTTTCCTTTAGCTTTGCACTAATACCTTTCTCAATGGAGGAGATGAAAGCAGTCATGTGTTTTTGCTTCATGTCTCTCACCCCCTTTGACAACTGTTCCTTCTGTGGAAAAGTAATTGGAATAGCATTTCAGAAGACTGCGAACCAAGAATTAAAAAACTGATAATTCCATCATTAAAGTATAGCGTCCAGTTCATATATCTTTGTGCAATAGAAAAAACAATCATTCAAAACATTTTCATTACAATATCTTCATCACCCTTACTCAACTATTTAAGCATTTCGGATGAAGTGTTCAAAAAGTAATGGTTCTTCAAAAGAGCAACTCCTAATCAACTACACAATGACTGGACAAACATGGCTGCAAATTCTACCCAAAAAGATTTAGTGGTGTACTTGTAGAAAAAACAACACACTCGGAGCAAATTGATAAAGGAAAACGTAAAAAGCATCTACTCATAAGATGAAATAATGTACTTATTTCCCTCTTTTCCTATTGAATTAAGCCACAGGCCAGTCCTTCATACCCTTCTGATCAACAGAAACATTTATAACGTAAATCATTTGTACTGCCCACAAACATCACATAAAATGAAAAAGCAAATAGGTATCTTCATGTATTACCTGAAGTTTGATATAATGATCCAACTCTTCTTGCTGCCTATCAAGCTCAGTTCTGATATTATCACCAAGAGACAGTATGATAGACGGTGTGGCAGCCATGCTGCCACTAGCAGAAGTAACAGATGAGTTATGTTCATCATCGTCATATGAAAGCCTCAATCCTGTTGACACAGGGTTCGGATTTTGAATACTTGCTAATCGATCAGCATCCTTTTGATTGACATTGTAATTTAAGGAAATCTGAAGTCTTTGTTTTGACATATCTTCCATTTCCTTGCTGCGTTTATTAGGCTGAATCATGGAGCTGACATGCTCATTTCCGAAATAATTAACTGGGTCAACACTACATCCAGCTTGTACTGCAAGAGATATTGCATGACTATCATTCAGTGATAAGGTAAAAACTATGGACAAAATACTAAAGATATGAAAGGACATACAAATAATTTACATGGTAGTTTAAGGAACTGCATTAAATGATAAATTGAAACAAATATGTAATAATTTCTAAATTTACAACACAGAAAGGGAATTTCAGTGCTAGCAATGACAAGTATACTCAATCAGTAGCTTGCAGGTCAAACACAGTACAAGATAAGGAACTGTATTAAATGATATGAAAGGACATACAAATAATTTACACGGTAGTTTAAGGAACTGCATTAAATGATAAATTGAAACAAACATGTAATAATTTCTAAATTTACAACTGTTAGGTTCTCTAATCAAGAACCTAAGGGAAAACAATTTTACACACCAAAAAGCACACACTCACAACATAGAATTGTATAATCTCCTTTGTATTAACAACCATCCAGCATGTCTGATACAATGGGTTTCTCAGAGAGCTTAACCTCCCCCTACAGGACCTATGGGTACCTGTCAACTAATAATACTTCAAAACTAACTCTCGCCTAACAGCCCAACCCCCTTTTATACCAACTTACCTAACTGCCTTGGCAGTTAGGCTGTATAACATCTCTCCTTCTCCTATACACCAGTAGTTTCCTATCATTACGCCCCTCCTCTCCAACAACCTTGTCCCCAAGGTTGAATTCAGGATACTGTTCCTGCATAGTCGCCACATCTTCCCACGTCGCTCCCTCTTGTCCTCCTTCTTGCCACTCAACCAAAACCTGAGGTATTTCTTCTGCTCCCATTTGTCTCTGCCTCCTGTCCAGCAGTTTGACAGGCCAAAACATGGGTCCCTCTGCC